ATATTATAAGCAAACATAATAATGATATAATCCCAATCAAAACACAGCATATGACAACATACAAATAACAAAAACAAACCGTAATTTTCTGAGAGAACAAAAGAAATCATAATGAAACCAAACATAAACATATCCAGTACTCAGACAGAATGCATATTAGATCACATATTATCACCAAAGTCTTCCAGCTCGAGTTTCAATAAATCATCATCATCATTTATTGCTAAATTTGCTTCAGGCAAACTAGCGTGATGTGATTCACCTTGAGGAGCATTTCCTTTCTTATCCTTGAGCGTTCTCTGATAAGCTTCGACTAGGTGACGAGGAGTACGACATGTACGGGACCAATGACCACTGCATCCACACCTATAGCAAACTTGCTTATCTTGATTAGCTTGTGGATTATCGATGTTAATATTTTCTTTCCGACCTGTCGGTTCCTCAGTACCATTACCTCGTCCTCCACCTCGAGTCCAGACATGATTACGATCGCGACCTCGACCGCGACCACGTGCGCAACCATGACCACGACCACCACGGGGTGGCTGATTATGATATCTTCTACCTCTTCCTCGCATATTATTATGCTCATGAATATTTGCATGTGCTTCAGGCACTGCTTGAGTCCCAATTGGCCTAGCATTATGATTTTTCATCAACAATTGATTATGTTTTTCGGCCACTAGCAAAGCAGAAATTAGCTCAGAATGTGTTGCATAGTTTTTAGCCCTGTACTGCTGCTGGAGTACAAGGTTATTAGCATGAAAGGTAGATAAAGTTTTCTCAAGCAATCTCAGTAGCTGTGAGACAATTCGATAGAGTGTCGAATTATATTCAGTAACAGATTTAAAATCCTGAAAACGGAGATTAATCCAATTAAATTGCGCTTGAGGGAGGATTATAACCATTTGTTGTTCAAATTGATTCTTCAGGGATTTCCAAAGATTTGCAGGCTCTTTTTTTATGAGATACTCATTTTTCAAATCTTTATTGAGATGATGACGAAGAAAAATTAGTGCTTTCGCCTTCTGGGCGGAAGTACTATTGGATGTATAATCAATTGTGGCACTTAAGCCAAACGAGGCCAGATGAATCTCAACATCAAGGGCCCAAGTTAAATAATTACTCCCATCCAGAGAGAGCTCAACAAACTCTCTTTCAGTTATATCAGACATTATGAAATATGAGATTATAAATTTATTATTTATATTTGAAAGAAAAATAAATACTTTGAAGAATATTTCCAATAACGACTTGTAATATTATGATTTCTGATACAGAAGATCGTTTATAAGACGCAACTGTAGAGCATACTCTCTTCGTATTACAAATCAAGCTCTAGAGGGTAGAGACTCGTGCTGATAACGTGTTATAAAACTATAGAGAATAGAGAATATAGAGAATAGAGAAATTGTATTATTTTGGTGTGTTTTTCATTATAACTGAAGCCTCTATTTATAGGAAAACTTCTGATGGCATAATCGTAATAATACAATTACATCAAGGGCTAAATAGTCATTCATATATATATATATATATATATATATATATATATATATTATCACCTCGTGAGGTGCATGCATAATATTATAACAAAAATAACATTTTTGTTAAACAATGATACATCATTCTTGTTTATTGACCAATGAAATAACATTTTTGTTAAACAATGATACATAGTTCTTGTTTATATTGACCAATTAACTGATAGCTAACTTATTGTATTAGTCAACTGTACTAGCCAATTTGACTAGCAGATTCAATTAGTGGTTTGTCAACTGAGCGTTTGGTAAATAGTAAAACTTTATAGCTCATATGTTGTATTGCATTTTTAATCATTTCTTCCTAAAACATTAATTTTTTATGTTTTCATAATTAGCGTTGTGGGTTTAAAATGTTAATCAAGTAAGTTTTTTATCAAATAAGCTAATTCGTGGATTTGATTAGTCAAACTTAGGTCCAACCGGCTAATGTAACACTAATATGTTAGTAAACAAGAAAGTACTAGTACAACACCCGTGTACTACACGGGTGCTTGTTAATTTTTTTTTCTTAAATTTTAAATCTAATGAGGAAAAGTAGTTTAAAATTTAAATACATTTTATAAAAAATATATATTATTATATATTTTAGAATGACATTTGTTACTTGTGCGAGTTACATGTGTTAATATAATAAATTTTCTAACTTATAACATATGACTACTTCAAAAATAAATACATTAATTGAGAAATAAATATATTTTTTTAATTAATATTAATAAATAATTTTATTATTATTATAAAGATAAATATAATTTATTTATTTTAAACATACAATATGGATGTCAAATCGAAGCTCATAAAAAGATGATTAATTTAATATATTATATATGTAAAACCAATAAGAAATACAAAAGTTATCAACTTTTAAAATACATTTATATTTCAATGGTTATAATTAGAAATGACATTAAAATACAATTAATACATCTAAAATGAACATAAATAATCAACATATTTATGGTAATCCAGACCTAATTATTTTTTGATTGGAATTAAATTAAAATCTAACATAGCCAAATAATGAAGCGTGTAATTTTGCCACATAATATCTCGAAGCATTCGAGCCTGCCACTTAGACTCATCACTATCTGAATTAATATGAAATAAAAATAAATACATTAATTGAGAAATAATTATATTTTTTTAATTAATACAACAACAACATAGCCTTTTAATCCCAACCAAGTTGGCGTAGGCTAGAGATGAAAACCAAGAGAACCAATGGTAAGAGAAACGCAAAAAGGGCTCAAAGCAAAAGGAAGAGATTGGAGCAAAAGAGAAAGGAGCAAAAGTCATGGTTCTGGGATGTTGATTGGTAGCCTCCAAGCACTCCTATCCACCGCTAAATCCTTGGAGATAAATATGATTTATTAATAAATAATTTTATTATTATTATAAAGATAAATATGATTTATTTATTTTAAACATACAATATGAATGTCAAATCGAAGCTCATAAAAAGATGATTAATTTAATATATTATATATGTAAAACCAATAAAAAATACAAAAATTATCAACTTTTAAAATACATTTATATTTCAATGGTTATAATAGGAAATGACATTAATACACCTAAAATGAACATAAATAATCAACATATTTATGGTAATCCAGACATAATTATTTTTGGATTGGACTTAAATTAAAATCTAACATAGCCAAATAATGAAGCATGTAATTTTGCCACATAGGATCAAGAAGCATGCGAGCCTGCCACTTAAACTCAGCACGTTCTGAATTAATATATAGGGGGATATTTTTATAAAGTTTAACATTATAACTTTTCCTTATATATTGCAATAATATGATTATCAAGTGGTTTGATATGTCTAATAAATGGGATTAAAGAAAATTTTAAAGTTTGTCTGCTATTAATAATTTAAAGTACAACCAATAAGCAAGAAAAGCTGTAATAGGTTCGTCAATAGTTCTCTTGGTCCAATGAGATACATAAGTGCATGTTCATTGGTCCAATGAGTTTTTTTTTTTTATTTTTTTTTATTTTTATCTCTCTTCCGAAAAGGATAGATTTTATAAATAACAAAACGATACGCACAGTATACATTTGAAAACAACTAAACAACCAAATAGTTTACACAATTGAATCAGGTTGGAAGGACTACATCAGAGTAACCTAGAACCAACCTAACAAAAAACAAAAGCACACCAAGTCCCAATAGAAGAAAACAAAAGCTCCCATGATCGCACCCGAGTTTGGGTCAAACACCAGATCAGAAGTTATAAGGAATTAGAAATTAATGTTAAACAAAAGCAATCATGATAATTCCATCGCCCTGGGCTGGGTAAGATATCCTTAGGTCGGTGGAAGCTTTAGGGTTGTGAACATAATTAATGTTTACAATGTAGAGAATAATGTGGTTCATCCACATTCTAGTTAGTCAGTGAAGAGAAGGGAGAGAATAATTCTTACCAATTCCAAACAATTTTATTATTTAATTAATTTTCTTACTATATAATAAAATTTTATATTTGGTAAGTAGATAGAGTTATAATTAGACTACATTGTGCACTGGAGATAATTTTTTAATTTCATAGTTGTAAGCTGAATATTTTTTTTACATAATTCACAATCTATTTAATTTATTGACATTTGTTAAAATTTATTCTATAACAATATTAGATGATTGGAGATGCTCCAAATTGGACTTCTATCACCAACCCTAGCGCGATATAGCGGAGTAGAAATTAGAAATTAATGTTGAGGGGCTCGGCCCACCACCAACAAAGACCACACTCTTTTACGGCCATTTTTAGCTGCTCTCAAGCACACACACGCACATTTATATACACACCCATATAAATAAGTATATAAATCTTCGGTCCTTCTGTTTTCGAGATCCATCGCTCCTCCTCATTTCCCCTCTTAAACCCTATCAACACCACCATCGGAGCTGCGGACACTCGCCGGAAATTTAAGACTAAGAGAGAGAAACGAACCAACGCCGGTTTCTCTCTCTCTCAGCATATCGGATCCGATTCGTTTCAGGTATGAACCGATCGGAAGATCCCTCGCGCATATGGTATTGCATTTTTGGTTCAAGGTGAAATGATTGTTGTTGATCTGGTTTCTCATGTAATTAATGTTTCTATAGGTCTGTTACTTGTATCACTTATCAGGATGGCAGCAGCAGCGGAAGTGGCGGCTCAGCAACCAGTTTCTCCTCAAGTTGTGA